ATTGTGACATTATGTCCTGGTTTCAGCTGGACACATTATGATTTAAAAAAGGCTCTTCTGAAGAAACAGGAGCTCATGACTTAAAATATTCAAAACTAGACTAGTCAAAGTAAATGATAAAGTAAGAACTCGTACAACCACTTAAAATAGCAACAGATTTTAATTCCCCTTTCAGAGCAATACGAACATCAGAAAACTAATGTTAGACATACATCCAGTAAAGAGCTGCCAGCATCAAATTCTGTCTTTCTACCTCTACCTTGAAAGGCAAAGGATTTTGTGCTCTTACGTGATGTTTTATCTTCTACATAAGATTATCTTATATCTGATCCTTCCACACCTTGATGAATACATAAATTTAATCAAAGTATACCTCAGGTTGAGACTACTCTGTGCAGACATATGGTTTGTGAGGATCACTCTTTTGTAAAATATAGGGAACAGCTATAATTTCTCTCAGGGCTATAGTCAAGGGCTTGATCCCTGAAGACAAAACAAATTCGAATGTAGTGGTAACCCACACTTTTTTCGGTTGCTCTAGCACAGAAGCATCATCTCCTACACTCTACAGAGTTTTCAGAATTCCTAAGTACATCTCCCTGGTGCTCATTCTCCTATTTCCAAACTCATTCCTTCCCACCAGAACTTGCAGATCAGTCTGAAGTTTGCCCTCATTACACTACTTGAGCAGCTCTCTGGAATTCAGCACTGCTTGGTTTACAATGAAAAATCAACCTCTTTGTGAGGACTTAGAGCACAGTAGCAGCCCCTGCACAGAGGAACGGAATCACACCAGACAAACAGTTTGGGCAATATCCAAGCAAAGATGGCTAGCATCTGGCAAAGAAAACAGAGACAAATGGAGAAAACATTTGTTTACCTGCACCATGCCATAAAGCTCACCCAAGCACTTTACGAGACGGTGAGTTACCATGCCAGGTTTCTTCTCCACAAGCACACTGCCAGAGTATTTTCTACACTGTCCTGCGTTAACCACCTCTCACATTGTATGCATATTCATAGGGAATTCCTCCCCTCATATTTAGACAGCCAACCCATTAATTCTACTTTTTATAGGTTTCTTATGTACCTTGTGTTGCAATCATTAGCGTCAATTAGTTTCTATGGAGTTTTCACGGTACTATTGTGGTTATATTGTTTATTATTGTTATGCCTTCATCTCCTAATAGCGTTACAGGTTTCCCATTTTTCTCTAATAAACATCCTACAATTACCCATTACTCAGAATTACATTTGCTGGTAGACAGAGAAATCCAAATTTACAAGACTGAGCAAATTGTTTAGATATCAATTTGGTAACTGGCAGTCTAATATGTGGACTTAAGAGTTCTCCAATTATTCCCTTAAGCCAAACTGTGTCATATTTGGGCTTTTTAGACCTAATATGCAAGGACTTTTTAAATCAAGACCATTAAAAGTGCCCATATATTATTTGCATTATTAATACTGAGAGATGAAAACATGTAAATTATGCAGACAAAATAACATTTTTCAGGTCTTTTGGGAACTGATTTCCTCACAGGAGTTTTAGGTGTAATGGATTACCACTTAATGCCGCATCAAGCAGCTTCAATTTTGAAGAGTCAGGATCTAAAGTAAACACGAAACTTTGATATACTAGATTTGTTGGATTAAATAAAATTCCCTGTCATGAATTTGAAGCAATCACATAGTTTGGATAACAAGACAAGGAGAAGCTAGGAGGGAAAACTAATAATCTGTTTATTCAAGCAGACTATTTCCCATTATGTAACAGCATTTGCATAGATTATAATTATTTAAAAAACAAAAATAAAAAAACTGTGCACTATGTTCTTTGTTAACTAACAGATTTCCTTCCTCTGTACCACATCTGGTATTTTTTGTTCTTTTAAGATGACAGACAAATCCCAGTTTGATATAAAACAACAGGACTTTTACTTGTTACTGCTGGAAAAAGGACGTATCTTTAAATTTCAAAGTTACATGCTCTAGTCACTTTAGATTTATTTGTTCTTGTGAAAAATAAAAGAAAAAACTCCACAACCCTCGAACAAATTAATCAAGACACAACCCTACAAGAACAGTCTGATTATAGTACTTAAGAACCTCCATGCCGAGACTCAGTTTACCTCAAAAGCACAATCTGATGCTCCTTATTTTTGCCTATGTCTGGAAAAAATATGCATGGGTCATCCAAAGCAAAATTTTACATTTTATTGCTACTATTTCTGGGTGCTCTTTTCTAGTGTAAAATTCACTGCTCTGATTTACAAACATTCTTTGATTTTGAATGCACTTCATGTTCAACAGTTGTGTATTTTCTCTTTATTTTTCTTCAAGAATATGTCACTGCAATGTGGTCACCTTATACTTTGTTATTTGCAGCTATTCAATTTATCAAATTCATAACCTAAAATAAATCAATCGGTTTAATAATGAAGTTCTCCTAAAATTTTAAGGATATACAACATTTGCAGATACACTGACAGCAAGAAATGTATCTAAAGCTCATTATTTAAAATATCAATCTAGCACTTTTACATCAGTTGTACAAATCAATTTTTAAGTTTTCTTCAACAGAGACATGTAGTTCAAGTCAGGTTCAGTCAACATATATATTTACTGCTGATTTAAACAAAAAAAATCCTAGTCTTCCAAAAATGTCCTTGTGGCACTTTATTTTTAATTACAAAGACGTAAGACTGACTTTGCAATTTTCAGTCAGGAAT